TAATGCTTAGCTTTCAGAAGTGGCCACGGTTATTGCGAAGAGGGGTAGGACTGTGGCAGCATCCGTGGACTCCCAACTTGAAGATGGTTACCAGAACATGACGTTCCTGAAGGCAAGATAGATAGAAGGTCCTGGGGGGAGGGCAACAAGAGCATTGCTTAATTTACACAGTCAAAATAAATCAGTGAAGGAAAATTAGAGGCACAGGGCAGCATCTCAATGAAAATCACAATCCCTTGTTCAGTTTCCAGGTCAGACCCATTCTAGATCATTCTAGATCAGGCTGAAGCAGTGGCTGATTCCTATGAGCCGGCAATACCAGGGAAAATCTATTCATTTATTTCCCTACTTCTTAACCAAGGAGCTCAGGACCACTTTACTCAGGTAAATGTGGTTTGAGAGAGAAGAAGAATACTCCATTTTTGAGAATTATTGAACTCTGGGTCTGAACTGACGCCAATACCTGGAGACCCATTGAACCACCATGGCTCCCTACTAATGTGAGCTCATACAGGGTCTACTAGAGCCTCCGAGGCCTGGCTCTCAGTGGGCCCACTGGTCCACAGACTAACCTGGTGCTCCTTTCCCTCATTTCCAAATACATAATTAGAAGGGACACTCTTGGTAGTTTGAAGAACCTTCACATTGATCCTTGAGTTCTTAAGAGCTATTGTAGTGGGAAATGGCAAATGGAAGCCCCTGAAGCTGCTTCCACCCTAGAAAAAAGAGTACATCAAAAATGATGCTGAATTCCAGAAGGAATCGGGGAAATTAATGAACCCCTCAAAGATTTCAATACTGTAGTAGCCCTGGCTATGTTTCCATTTACTTCACCATGCTGGCTCCTGCAAAAATCGAATGGAGCATGGCAGGATGTTCCAGCAGTAGCCCCCGTTACACCTGCTGCACGGAGTGTGATTTCTTTGTGAAAGCAGATTAAAACCACTTCTAGAACTTTACCTGGCAAGTGTGTTTTCTGTCATCCCAATCGATGAGAGGACCAGAGGTAGCCTGCATTCCAATGGGATGAACAGTTGATGTCTCTGGTCTTGCCCCCAGACTATGTAAGTTATGATGCTCTTTGTCAAAATGTAAACTGAAGGGACATTCTGTAAATCACTACATGGATTCACCCTATGACTGACCTCATGTAATAGGACTTGATGAGAGGTATGGAGCAAGTTATGTTGGAGGACTTGGTAAGTACACACTCCATACACCTTAGAAAGTGGGTAACAAACCTTATAAATATTCAGGAAACTGGCTGGGCACAGTGCTTGTGCCTGTAATCCCAGCACTTTGGGAGGGTGAGGTGGATGGATCATGAGGTCAGGAGTTTGAGACCAGCCTGAACAACATGGTGAGACCCCGTCTCTACTAAAAATACAAAAACTAGCCGGGCATGGTGGTGCACACCTGTAATCCCAGCTACTCAGGAGGCTGAGGCTGGAGAATCACTTGAACCTGAGAGGTGGAGGTTGCAGTGAGCCAAGATGCACCATTGCACTCCAGCCTGGGTGACAGAGCAAGAATCTGTCAAAAAGAAGAAAAAAGAAAAGAGAAGAAAAGAAAAGAAAAGAAAAGAAAGAAAAGAAAAGAAAAGAAAGAAAGAAAGAAAGAAAGAAAGAAAGAAAGAAAGAAAGAAAAAGAAAGGGAAAAGAAAGGAAGGAAGGGAAAGAGAAAGAGGGAGAGAAAGAAAAGAAAAGGAAAGGAAAGGAAGACAAAGGAAAATTAAGGAAACTTCTGATTCTGGGTAAGATGCAGCAGACATATTTTTTTCCTATTCCCTCCACTAACATCTCCAGATATTATGTGTGTGGTGTGTGCGTATATACACACAGTATATACACTATACACTATATATACACCGTTCTCTACTTTTTTCACACAATATATACACTATACACTATATATATATTGTTTATATACACATGCACACCCACATATAACATGAGGCTCTAAAAGGTGGAGAAAAGAAGAGAAACAAGGTAGAAAACTCAGGATTCAAGGAATAATATGGCAGTGATTTCTCTGTTTTGTTTGTTTTGCCTTATATTCTAGACTAAATACTAGAGAAGTCGGTAACATCAAGGGATAAAAACAACAATAAAAACTGCCCTGTTTCTCATGTTTTGTTTTTGGTGAATTGAATGGGCATCTGCTGTGTGTGAGAAGCTGTGGCAGTGGAATCAGGTGAAGGGGGTGCAACGTTGGGGATTAAGGAGAATTCAGAAGATAACATGATGAATAAGACATTTCAGGCTGCTCTGCCTATGAAGTAGGCACTCTTTATTCCTTTACTTTCTTAATAAACTTGCTTCCACTTAAAAAGTTTTAATTGCATTATTATTATTATTATTATTGCTCATGCAGACATTAATAATCAGTGGTGATCAATCATTAAATAAGCTTTCTGGTAATATATACATTCTAAATTGTTCACACAATAGCAAAAGTCATTTTCATTCACTTTATAACTTAAAAATCAGTTGGCCAACTTCAAAAACAAGTGGGTTGAAATATGTTGGCACACAGTGAACTAGTCTGTCCCATTTAATACACTAAGATGAATTATTTACTAGAAGTGGAGTTTAATTCCTTTGAAGTCTACACAGTGAATCAACCATGTGCAATTTGATTATGGATTTTATTTTTTATTGATAATTGAGTTTTCTTGAATGGCAGATTAAGTCGATTAATAGAAAAATGGAGACACTGTAAACTAAGAAATATTTAAATTAAGAAATGTTGGCACTCATAAGAAGTAAATGTGAAAATAAACAAAACTCAGGACAGTGTGTCCCTGCTGTTGAAGAGGGGACTAACAGTGGACTTCCATTTGCAGCTGTTTCTCAAGGCTTCCTTGCTTAGTGTTTCTCATCCAGCCAGCATGGTGAGAATACTCTGCCTTCAGCTGGCAGGGATCTGGAAGAGGCTTGGAAGCTCCCAAAGACCAGGACTGAATACCACATCCATCCCTTCTTCTCCTTGGATGCCTGATTCTAATTCTCTTAGAAGATTCCAGATCCCAAAGGAGATTATATGACACAAGCTAGGGGTTGAACTCAACATGGTTGAACAGAAACACGCTGCATGCACAGTGCTGCGTCACGGCTCACTGAAACAAGTGAAAAATCCCTCTTTTATGGTACATCACACCGGGATCACATAGAATCCTAGATTATCTTTATTTGTTCTATAATTTAATAGTATACCTATAAAATAATTACATTATACTTATAGCTTTTCTTCATTTATAAACAAAACAAAAAAATTAAATACAATTTGAGCCATTATAAGGTAAACTTTGTACATATGAGAACCCCCAGAAGGAGCTTCACACTACACCGCAGCATATCATATTGCTTTCATTGTTACACCCACAACTGGGTTCAAAGAGAGTGTGCTCGTGTTTGCATTCTGTAAGTTCTTAGCTTAATCCCTCCCCTATCTGTATGGGTTCCATGTTAATAAATGGCAGGGGTTGACTCTGCAGCTGCTCAGAGACTCTCCTCCACTCACCTCCCAATTCGCCCCATTAGCCTCCATTACAATCACATAATTTTCCTTCCTTCACAGCTTTTCTGCTGCGTGTTCTGCCACTGAGTCTGACTTAAGGTTTTCCGCTAAATGCAAAAATCAATCCTGACCTTGAACACCCTTCTTTACGTCTTCTTCCCATCCTCAAGTTCCAGCCCTCAAGGATTTCTTTTGATTTCTGCCTCCTGAGTTCAGGCTGTATATGCTCATTTACAAAACCAAGATCAACTCTGCACCAGCACATTCTTGCTCAGGTCTCACGGTGTTGCAGAAATGACAGAAATGAACCTTGTAGTGCAGTGGCCTGAAATAGATTCACCAACCCACCCTACCCCAATCCTTGCTTTCCAAGTGAATGCCTCTAGATCCACCACCACCACCCAGCATCAGGAAGCTAAGTCCCGGCAGCAGCTTGCAAAGGGTCTCTCTCACATACTAGGGAATGGCCCCTCCACAGGAGCACTTCCTGGGGAAGCATCAGTGAAAGGTTTTCAAAGTGTACTGATTCCCACCAATGGCAGCTCATTCACATTTGTCAGATTTCATAAGCATTACTCACAGGGAAGCCTTCCTAGGGCAACTGAGCAAAGGGAACCAGAGGAAGTATAATTTTGCTGGAAAACAAGTTATGTCTACTTCCTTTTATCAAGAGACCACAACATAGAAAGTTACAATTCATTATAAAAATAAAAGGTGGCTGGGCACGATGGCTCCCACCTGTAATCCCAGCACTTTGGGAGGCAGAGGTGGGCGGATCACGAGGTCAGGAGATCCAGACCATCCTGGACAACATGGTGAAACCCCGTCTCTACCAAAAAATACAAAAATTAGTTCAGCGTGATGGCACACACCTGTAGTTCCAGCTTCTTGGGAGGCTGAGGCAGGAGAATCACTTGAACCAGGGAGTCGGAAGTTGCAGTGAGCTGAGATTGTGCCATTGCACTCCATCCTGGGTGACAGAGCATAATCCATCTAAAAAAAAAGTGACCTAATGTTTGTTCGTCCCCTTTGAAGTCTATTCTTTGAAAAGGAAGCATGTTATTTTGTGCAGAACAGTTCAGCTAGATTACTATCTATATATCTTATTCCTTACTCCCTCCTACACCACAAAGCAACTCAGCTCCTTATATTTTTAAATATCCCTTTCTTTTTCTCTTTCTTTTAACGGGAAAGATTTTTTGCTTAGTGTCATGACAGTGAGAATAGTATATCGTTTCACCCCACGTATGCATATTCCGCATTATAGGGGCTTTCGAGTTTCTGGTCATCGATTTCCCAACGAATGCCTCTCCCTGTGCCTAGCCATCCCAAACCAATTTCTACTCTGTGCTGCGATGCTTTAGTACCTTCAGTGAAATAATATTCAAAGTAAAACAACACGACTCCGTCCGTCTCCCTGCCCAATCTAAAATAGGTGCATGACAGTGAATTGCTGACCAGGCTTTTTTTTTTTTGTATTATTCTGAGTAAAACACCTTCTGGGCAGATCATCCCCTGTTCTCATCCTTACTCAGAATGCTGCTGCAAGACAGAGTCAAAATCTGTGAAATAATACATGAATAGGTCTATAATACTTTTTAAACAGCTCTTTACAATATACGGTCACTTATAAAACCAGCGTTAATATAGAGACCTTTGTGTGTGTGATAATATTCTAATTGCAGCAATAATAGCATGCACACCAGAGTTCATCTTTAGTCCACAAATCGGGGGTGGGGATAGTGAGGAAGAAGAGGCGGTGGTGGCGGAGGGTGGGGAGAGTGCAGCCTGCTGTGCTCGGGGTTCCCCAGGAAGCCCACTTCGGGATCCAGCCAGCTCCAGTTGTCTTCCTGGTATCGGTTTATTAGGAGACGCCCCCATCCCCGTACTTATTTATGGAGGTTGTACATATCCGCCTCACATCAGCAACCGAGGGCAGCCTGCCAGTCACGAGAATGAGCGCCCCCAGCCCGAGGTCCAGAGACCAGCAGGAGAGGTCTGCGGGGCAGCTCAGAAAAGTGGCGCATCCTCCACTTCGCGTGGGAACCGGGCGGGCTGGAGCGCAGGGGGCGGGCAGGGAAATCCTCGCTTTTCCACATGGTGGAAACATCCATGCCGGATCTGCAGTGCATGACCTCGAACGGTCCCCTCGGACTGCTGGGGGGCGGGTGGTGGTTTCCAGCACTTGCCTTCGGGCCTGATCCGCCACCTGGTGTGGGAGGCGCAGGCGGGGCCCGGGGTCGGTCAGGAACGCGTCAGCGAAAGCTCCACTTGCGATCCACGTTTGTGACAAGGACACCGTCCGCCCTAAGAGACGTGCTTGCTGCTGAGGGGGGCACCAGGCAGCGTGAGAGTGGGCTCGGAGGGCAGGGACAGAGGCGGCGGCGGCGGCGCCTCCCAGCGGCCGGGCGCGCGGGGCTGAGCTGCGTGGGGCCCGGCGCTCACTGCTTGTCCGAGTCGCTCAGGTTCACGGACATGCATCTGCACTGCTTCACCTTCTGGATCTTCTTGAGTCGGAAGGGCGGGTCCAGGCCGGGGCACTCGAGCTCCACGAGGACGGAGGTGACGCGCTGGGGCTTGCAGAAGGCGCAGGACTGGAAGGACTCCTCCTCCTTCTTCACGTGCCGCGGGATGTAGAAGGAGTTGCACTGGCCGTAGCAGAAGCGGTTGAGGATGGTGCGGCTCCGGCAGCCCTCCTCGCTCACCGTCTGCCGCAGCGGCTGCGTCTTGCACCAGTCACTCTTGAGGTACTTGCGCTCGGTGACCACCAGGGCTTCCTGGCTGGAGGCCAGCACCTCCTTGATCTGGTGCTGCCATCTCTCCGAGTTGTTGCTGCTGCCGTCCTTGTAAGGCGAGGGGATGGCGCCCGCGGGCCGGTTCTTCCGGGCTTCCGCCACCTTCACCAGCACGGCCACCAGGAACAAGGACAGGGAAAGCTTCCAGAACATCCTGCAACGAGAAACGAGAGGGGTTGGCTGTGAAGGGCGGTAGAGGAAAGGAGCGGTCCTTTTTTTGACACGGTCTGGCTCTGTTGCCCAGGTTGGAGTGCAGTGGCACGTGGCTAGCTGCAGCCTCAAACTCCGGGATCCTCCTGCCTCAGCCTCCTGTGTGGCTAGAACTACAGGCATGCACCATCACGCTAATTTCTTTTTATTTTTTGTGGAGACGGATCTCCCCATGTTGCCCAGGCTGGTCTGGAACTCCAGGCCTCAAGCGCTCCTCTGCCTCGACCTCCCAAACCCCTGGGATTATAGGCATGAACCACCACGTGGTTTTAATGCTGTATGGATTTATTAGCAGTGACAGGTGGGGCGTGGCTGACTGATGGCTGCCCAGGGGCAGCTGGAGGTGAAAAGGGATGAAATGGTACAAGTGTAGACAGCTAGGACTGCACCCCAAATAATGCCCGAAGGCAAGGACATGGACAAAATGGTCAGTAACGTGTGCAGTAAATGCAGTTAGAAAACACAGGCATGTTGAACAGTTACAGAATTACAAAGCGAGTGCTGTGAAGAGATATCTCAAGCCAGTTTGCAGAAGTACCAATAATAGTCAATACTTGACACTGACTGTGTTTTACTATGTGCCAAGTGCTGTCCTAAGTGTACAGCTCATTCACGTGTATGTCTCATTTCATCCTAAAAATAGCCTTCAGTTGGAGGTGGTATTATTACCCCTATTTTAAAGTGAAGAAAACCAAGGCTAAGCCCCACAGAAATTGTCATTTACCTGAGGTCACACAACCACTGAACAATGGCCCAGGCTTTGAAGCCAGCCATCTGCCTCCAGAGCCATCAAAGTTAACCAGTGGACATGCATATGATTACAAAAATTAGTAATACAAAGGAGAGAGAAGATGGGTGTGGTTCACAAGTTTCTTTAAAAATGAGTATTAAAGATAGAACTGGACAACTGGGCAAGCTGGCTCACACCTGTAATCCCAGCACTTTCGGAGGCCAAGGCGGGTGGATCACGAGGTCAGGAGATTGAGACCATCCTGGACAACATGGTGAAACTCTGTCTTTACTAAAAATACAAAAATTAGCTGGGCGTGATGGCAAGTGCCTGTAATCCCAGCTACTTGGGAGGCAGAGTAAGGAGAGTCGCTTGAACCCGGGAGTCGGAGGTTGCAGTGAGCTGAGATTGCGCCACTGCATTCCATCCTGGGTGACAGAGTGAGACTCCATCTCAAAAAAAAAAAAAAAAAAAAAAAACAGAACTGGACATAGGCTAGAAAAATTAATAGTTGCATCTGTATTATTACACATGAATAATAACATTAGCATTTAACGTCTACACACAGATATTCAAATCATTCAAATGAGTCTCCTAGTAGAAATCAATTCCCAGTTGTGGATTAAGAAATTTCCCAAGCCTGTATTAAAACTGCCTGATGACCATGCAAAGTGTCATCTCATTTGTATCAGGAGACTCTGACACAAATTCAACAGGAAAGGGAATCAGAGAGAAATTATTCTCATTCTATCGAAAACATGGCTTGCAGAGTGCAAGCCAAAGTCTGACTAAGTAAAAGATAGACTTCAAAGTGTAATTCTCATATTTTCATGAGTAGCCCCAAGGAACATTAATATCCAGCAATATAGAGGACTCCCATCTCTTTTATACCTGCAGCTACCGATGCAGCTGTTACCAACATCACCGTCATCTTTCTGTTTATTCATTTTGTCTCTCTGTTTTACCATCTCTAGGACTTCATGAATTCTCCCCCGCCTTTTTTTTGAAATGGAGCCTCACTCTGTTGCCCAGGCTGGAGTGCAGTGGCGTGATTTTGACTCACTGAAACCTCCATCTCCCAGGTTCAAGAGACTCTTCTGCCTCAGCCTCCTGAGTAGCAGGATTACAGATGCCTGCCACCATGCCCAGCTAATTTTTTTTGTAATTTTATTAGAGACGAGATTTCACCTATTGGCCAGACTGGTCTCGAACTCCTGACCTCGTGATTCACCCACCTCAGCCTACCAAAGTGCTGGGATTACAGGTGTGAGTCACTGCGCCGAGCTAAGGCAACATTCTTACAGGGACGGATGAGCCCTTACAAGATCTCCTCCCTCCTCCGCATCTCACCGGCCTCCTCTGTCCTCTCTCCCACTTGCTCACTCTGCTCCAGCCATACTGACCACCTATCTGTTTCTAGAATGAGCTTGGCATTAGACCCTTATCTTGTCTTTCTCCCAAATGTCTACTTGGCCTTCTTCCTCATAGTCTTCAAATCTTTGCTCGGTTACCACCTCTGTAGCAAAGGCTTAACCTTGCCTTCACCTCTATCCTGGACTTCACCATCTCCTCCTTCCCTGCTTTATCTTCCTCCAGGGTACTTATCACCTAATGAAACAGTATTTAATAATCTCACCTTCTTTTTATTGTCGGACTTTTCTCCTGGGAACGTAAGGTCCAAGAGAGAAGGCCTCTGTTTTGTTCATTGCCGTGTCTGCTGCTCTCAGAACAGTGCCTGGTGTACAGCAGGCACTCTGAAGCCCGGCGCAGTGGCTCACGCCTGTAATCCCAGCACTTTGGGAGGCCAAGGTGAGCTGATCCCCTGAGGTCACGAGTTCAAGACCAGCCTGGCCAAAAGGGTGAAACCCTGTCTCTACTAAAAATACAAAACAATTAGCCAGCTGTTGTCCTGTGGTCCCCGCTACTCGGGAGGCTGAGGCAGGAGAATCACTGGAACCCAGGAGACAGAAGTTGCAGTGAGCCAAGATTGTGCCATTGCACTCCACCCTGGGCAACAAGAGTGAAACTCTGTCTCAAAATCAAAAACAAAAAGTGTGAAATATGGATACCATGCATGTCATTGCCTTCAAACACCTTGTAATTAGGAAGCTAGAGAAAGCATGCAAATGACTGCGTGACGAAGGTATACGGGAACAATGGGTCCCCGTGGTGGTGAGCCTGTGACCAGCGACATCTGAATCACCTGCGGTACTTTACAGTGAACACTCCTGGGCTCGAGAAGCCTTCTTTTAAAAAAAATTTTTAATGAAATTTTTTTAAATTTTTAATTGTTGTGGGTACATAGTAGGTATATATATTTATGGAGTACATGAGATCTTTTGATAAAGGCCCCAACGCATTCTGAATCAGTAGTGTTGGCGTGGGGTTTCAGATCTATATTTTTAAAAATTGCCTCACGTAATTCTAATGGGATTCAGTGGCCACAAAGAAGAACAGTGAGGGGAAGAGGGAACAGCACCGGTTCTACCTGGAGAGGGAGCAGGAACCTAGGAGGTCAGAAGGAAACGGGTCCCTTAAATCTGAATAGGATTCCTCAGGGTGATGATATGGGCAAAACCACAGAGCCTTGGTAACGTCGATACACTGGGCAAGGGGAGTAGAAAGGAGGAAAAAAGGAAGTTTTTTGTTTTTTGGGGTTTTTTTGCAAAAACATTTTACCCAACACAATCATTAAAATTTTAAGGCCTCATTTTTAAAGAGTTTTTCTCATGCCTCCTTAGTTCCACACATGAAATGTCATACGAAGATGGCCACGCTTCCAGCTGGCTCATGGCAAGTGTGGAGTATTGGACTTGCTCGGCTCACATAGCTTATTATATTTGCGGAATGATTTGTGATCTCAATAGCCTCTTAAAAAGAAAGTCTTTTGGTTCCCTTTTAATAATTTCTGAAATTATTAACATTCTGAGTAAACACAACCAAAAGTTTGCAAGTCCCAGCCAGGAAAGATTGACAGAGCCAGTCTGGTCCTCAACTTTGAGTTCCAGTAACGGTTTCACATGCATGCTTGATCGTCTCGAAAATGCATGCTTTCCTTCAACAGGCCCCAGGTCTTGTCAGAGAGAACAGAGCTAAGACAGGTTCAGATCAATCTGGGGCAAAAACCCTTAGGGCCAGCAGTACTAGATGTCGTGATGAACATGCATTCTTTGAACTTATGAACATGTTTTCAAAACATCTGGCCATCATCCTTAGAAATTGTGTCTCACAGGAACCCAAGAAGAAATGCAAACTTTCAATTTTCAGGAAGGGGGAAAAGAGGCTGATGAAACCTCCAGGACTGGGGCCAAGTCGGTCTCTTCGCTTCTTCTTCTCCTACATCTCATTTCTTTTCTCCTTCACATATAGCAATAGTAAGATGCCAAGGATCTGGCATCTCACTGTCAGACAGGTAAATAGACAAAGGTGTTTTGCCATGGTGATCCACAGTGAATGTGCGGCCGTATCCTCCTACTTCGGAGTCTTAAGGCAGTTGTGCCCACCATTGCTAACGGCATCGTCACTGCTGGCCCTTGGCTGTGCAGAGTTCACCAGGGGAGAGAACGTGCTTGTCTCTGCCAGTTCGCTAACCATCCCTGCGCAAGCATGTCAGCGGCCCCGCCAGGACCTGAATTTAGCACGTTATAGAGAGTTCTGCTCTGTTCTGAACCACTCTGCTACTCAGAAAAATGGTTGGCACACAATTAACCTCTGAGGAATGTTGCCACCCCTGCCAGTAATGACAGCACGAGGATACTTCATTTTTTTCTCACATCGTGTATTTGGCTTGTATGAGAAGAAACTAATAAACAAATCCTGTTGGTTTTATTAACCATCTTTCTGGCCTGACCATGTTCTCAATTTGCAAGGGGTGCCAGGACTGTAAACGCTGATGGTCTAAGCAGACTGGGTTGGCCAAAGTCAGCTGTGCAAAGAGAGAGGTAGCGGGAGTCCTTTCCTCTTAAGTGAACGCTCTTGGGCCTGGCCTCTGGAGATACCAGAACTACACAGGCCAAAGTGAGCTAGTACTTAGGCAGCTAAAAAATCCATCACAGGCCCCTTCTATCAGCCACTCCTGAAAGAGTCAAGACCTAAAGACGGGTTCTACAATAACAGCTTGAACAATAAAACTTGCGATTTCTAGGGAAGAACACAGTAGTGCCGAATCACCCTTCCTGACAGGCGAATGCAAGGGAACAATGGCTAAGGGTACA